TAGAGGATAGGAAAGGTAGCAGAATACAACAGTTACTATTATGGCATTATGTAAAAATGTGGATGTGTAACCAATGTGATTCTGCAATCTGTAATGTTTTGAATAACCAATTAAAAAAATAATAAATTAAAAAAAAAGGAAAAAGCCAAGTTAAAAGGTTCTATAAGTGAATAAACAAACAATAAGAGTGTTTTTGCGGGGTGGTTGTTGTTTTGTTTGTGGTACCGGAGATTTGAACTCAGGGATATTTTGCCACTGAGCTAAATCCCCAGCTCTTTATTTTATATTTTGAAACAGGGTTATGCTAAATTGCTTAGGGTCTTGTTAAGTTGCTGAGGCTGGCCCTTAACTGACCATCTTCCTGCCTCAGCCTCCTGAGTCACTAGGATTATTGGCATGAGCCACAATGACCAGCAATATAAATTTTAAAGCAGTGGCCTCCCAAAAATTTATATTCTCTTCCTATACTTTAAGTTTTAGGCAAGGACTCTTTGGTTCACTGCTGTTTCCCAGAACCACAGAGTAGTTGGCAAAAAAGAAGGTACCTCTTATTGACTACTGAATAAATAAATAACCAGTCCTCCAAAAGACTACATTGTTTTATATGGTAGCTACTAACTACACATGGTTTTATTAAATAAGTAAAATTTTTATTGGAGAGTTCACATGTCATACAAAGTTGTATTATCTGGAATACTCTAATATCAAGTCTTCTTTATTAGAGAAATATTACTATTTCTTCATTAAAAGAGACAGTAATATTTATCTTTTGATGCTAACAAAGTGTTGTAAGTCATTTAAGCCTTCTATTGTCAAGTATAACCTTCTCACTTTATAGTTCTTTGGTTTAAAAATTAAGAAGGAAATGAGTTTAAAAGACTAACCAAGATCTAGCCAAATAATTATAAAGTGTAAGTAAAAAAGAAACTAGAAAAATAAAAAAAATTAGAGAATTTATACTATATAAATAACATATCTTCAACTAAAGGCAAAAGAAAAAAAAAAGACAAAACTCAAGTGTAAACAGGAAAACATTTGCAGTCTCAACTATGCCACTCAATAGTCCATAAACTAAAAGTTTTAATAATCCTGCCAGGCACCCAGTGGTACATGGCTGTAATCCCAGCAATTCATAGGAAGATCACAAGTTCAAAGCCAGCCTCAGCAATTTAGTGAGGCCCTAAGCAATTTTGTGAGACCCTATATCAAAAAATAAAAAAGGGCTGGGGAGGTGGTTAAGTGGGTCAGATCACTTAAAAAAAAATTCTTCTTCATAGGTATATAACCCAAGAGCAATTGTTAAGCAATCTCTGCTGCTGCTACTACTACTACTACTACTACTACTACTACTACTAATCCATTAATATTAAATTGGAAATATTATTTTTCAATTTAAACTAAAATGTAGGATGCTCTAGAGATCTTAATGATGGGGTTCCCAACATCAACGGACTGACAAACCACCATACCTCAATATAGCTACAGAAAATTCTCTTAAGATATCACTTTTCTTTGGATACATGTATGTATGATGTAAACATTATTTTATATCGAATGATATACAAGGCTGACTCCTATGTGGCAGGTTCATAGCTAGTTGATGCCAACAWACTTTCAGATGATTAAGAGCCTAACAAACAGACAACAATAGGAATTTTCCTAAAATATCTCTCTGCAACCTAGAGTCAATTCTTTTTTGGGGTCAAGGCAGGATGTGGGGGAGGTAGTAGGGATTGAACTTAGTGCTCTCTCACTGAATACATTCCCAGTCCTGTTCCCCCTTTAAACTCTATTTTGATACAAGATCTTGCTAAATTGCCCAGGATGGCCTTGAACCTGTGGTGCCCCTGCTTCAGCCTCTGGAGTAGCTGGGATTACAGATGTGCACCACCTCACTTGGTTAAGGTGGTTCTTTTATACTACAAATGTCATATTTGTAAGTACTATTAAATTTCTCATCTTTGAAAACCCCTTTCTCATGAGAAATACCTTATAAATAAAAATCTTCTTAACTCTTTAGTTTGAAGACTATTTTTAAAAATATTTTAGTTGTAGATGGAYATAATATCTTTATTTATTTATCTTTGTATGGTGCTAAGGATTGAACCCAGTTCCTCACACATGAAAGGCAAGTGCTCTACCACTGAGCTACAACCCCAACCCCTGAAATCTATTTGTGGTTAGTTAATAACCTAAACATAGGGTTTAAGGAGTCCATTAGGATTCATTTTATCAATTTAAGAAGATATAAATATAAATTTACTTTAAAAGAATTAACCATCTACAACACTATCCGTTTGTTCTAAATCAAACCTTCTGAATCTATCTACACAATTATTGTACTTTACTATAGAGAAGACAAGGAGTTTTACCTGATCTGTGTTGCTTTAACAATAGCAGACTCATACAATTCCTTTTTAGTGGGTTGCACCTTGTACTTGAATAATAAGGGATCAAATGCATCTTTTTTCTTCCTAAAAAGATAAAAGACAAAATAAGTTACTGGTGATAAACCTTCCCTGCCATTCTCTTAGCCAAAATAGTACAAAGCACAATTTAATGTTGGTATTTTAATTACTCGTTTGATAAATTTTCCCTTAAGTGACAAAAGTAACTAGAGTTGAACAAACACTCATTTTGGGTCAGATCACTTAAAAAAAAATTCTTCTTCATAGGTATATAACCCAAGAGCAAAAGCGGATACAATGTAGTTTACCTTAAGAATTGGTGAAGAGGGGCTGGGTTGTGGCTCAATGGTAGAGCACACACCTAACATGTGTGAGGCGTTGGGTTTGATCCTTAGCACCACATAAAAATAAATAAATAAAAATGAAGGTATTTTGTTCAACTACAACTAAAAAATATATTATTTTATTTTTTTTTAATATTTATTTATTTAGTTAGTTTTTGGCGGACACAACATCTTTGTTTGTATGTGGTGCTAAGGATCAAACCTGAGCCGCACACATGCCAGGCGAGCGTGCTACCTCTTGAGCCACATCCCCAGCCCCTAAAAAATATATTAAAAAAAAAAAAAAGAACCGATGAAGAGGCTGCATGTTTAATTCCTACCTCCACCAACTTCTTTCCTTTGAGAGTATATTCATCCACTTATTCAATTGTTTTATTTATATGTATATAAAATATATATAAATACATATATATGTATATATAAATATATATAAATAACTTAAAATATATGTAATAGTTATATAGATAGTTTTAAATATATGTAATAGTTATATATATATAATTATATATACTTTTATATATACATATATAAAAATTTAGTTCTACCAAAATGGAAATTGTTTTTGTTGCTATCCTATGGATGACAATAAAGAAAAAAGTAATAAATTTTACTATCAGCAGAACAAAAATGACCCCAAAAACCCAAACTATACTTTCTTTTTTAAACATAACTTGTTATTTACTTACTTATTTATTTTATGTGGTGCTGAGAATCAAACCCAGTGCCTCACACGTTAGGCAAACATTCTACCACTGAGCTTCAACCCCAGCCCCAAAACTATACTTTCAACATAAAGATTTCTTTTAGGATCATTACCAAGCTGGGCACAGTGGCATACACCTACAATCCCAGTGACTTGTGAGGCTGAGGCAGGAGGATGGAAAGTTTGAGGCTAACCTCAGCAACTTAGTGAAGTTCTGTCTCAAAATAAAAAGGGCTGGGGATGTAGCTCAGTGGTAGAGTGTCCCTAGGTTCAATCCCCAGTACCAAACAAAAACAATCAATCACACAATGACAACAACAACGAATGATTATCAAGTTATGTTCACTACAAATGTTCTTCAATGACGATCCATTGAATGATTAGGTTTTCACCACAGATGGTTACTTAGGGCAATACATATATTTTAATTTAAAATACTAACCTTACTTTTCACACATTAAATTTTCATGAATGGAGCTTCCAATTCCAAAAGAATGAAGTCCACTTTAATAATATATGTATTATAATAGAAATTTACATACATCAAGCAAAACAATTTCTGTTTATAACCAAGAATGATTCTAAATGTAACATACTTGCTAAAATATAAAAAGTTAGTTAATTTTTATTAACTCTCTAAGGTGTTTTCAGATTAAAATAACACARTGACTATTTTATGATATCAGTGTTTTCAGGAGAAATAGGATTGGGCATAGGACTAATAACTTGAAAATCTTGACAACTTCTAGCTTTAATGCATTTATGTCCAGTTCTGTTCTTTTTTATTGTTATTCTGTTTAGATATACATGACAGTAGGTGTATTTTGAAACATTATACATATCTACTACTTTAAAAACGATACTCAAATTTCATTATCTTACTAACAGTCAAGTTATTATGAGAGCCAGATTACATTACATGAAAGAAATTTAGTGAATATAATATTTTCAGATTAGACACATATTGCTCAAGAGGATCCTACACCATATATGATACATGTAAGTAATATTTCAGAGAGGAGCACCAGGAGACAAAATTCTAAACTTCTTAATTTGTGAGGACGGGTGCTGGGTATTGGACATAGGGCCTCACACRTGCTCTACCACTGAGCTAYGTTCCCCAATTCTTCACCTCAATTTTTTTTATTTATTTATTTGCAGTTCTGGGGATAGAACCCAGGACCTTGGGTTTGGCAAGCATTCTACCACCGAGCTATATAACTAGCACCTCAGTTTTATATGATGTAAAATATCATCTCTAAAAGACACGCCCAACTTTATCTAGTACTATAAATTATACCCAAGAACTCAACTCTAAAAATAAATTTTGCTTACATGATGACACCTAAAAAACTGCTTCCAAAGAGTTATGTTTTGGCTAGGGATATAATCCAGTGGTAGAGCACTTACCAGCACATACAAGGCCCTATATTTCATTTCTAGCACCCCCAAAGCGAATAAACAACAAAAAAAGAAAAATAATTGCCTGCATGAAATAAATGAATAATTCCATACTTAAGGTGTTATTAATTACATAATCTACACAAAGTATCCCTGTAGTACAATTAGTCTTATTTCATTCTAAAGTAGATTTACATAGGAATATGTACATTTCTGCCCTATTTAGTTCTACCAACAGCTAAGGAAGAAAATTACCTCATATTTTTACTGAAGAACACAATTCTGGCTAAAAGCCAGATTTTTTTTTTTGGGTGAACACAATATCTTTATTTTATTTTTATGTGGTGCTGAGGATCGAACCCAGTGCCTCATGCATGCCAGGCCAGCACTCTACCACTGAGCCACAACCCCAGCTCCATGTGTTAGGTTCTTTAAGAACCACAAGGTGCTAAAATGTCCCAAGAGCTGTTAAGAATACATGAAGTATGCTTTGTGATAAGCTGCAATAGCCTCTTTCACAAGCTTAGTTTAAGTTTGGGCTAAGGATATAGCTCAATGGTAGAGAATATGTTTAGCTTACAAGAGACTCTGGGTTCAATTCCCAACACCAACAAGTAAATAAGACTATATTTAAGCTGAYCCTCAAAATTACTAATTGACCTGCTCCCCAAAACTTTGAACACTGCCCACCAACAAAAATTGGTTACTGCTTTTATACTTTTTATTTCAATAATATATGGTTATCAATGCCCATAATAAGTAAGCTAATAATATGTTCTGGAAGAATGAAATTGTATAGAAGACAGGCAAATTTTTAATTCCCTGATTTTACAAACATGGCATTTGGTATTTGCAAAAAAAAAAAAAAAATCAATGGTCCCTCCAAATGCATCATAATCTTTTTATAAAACTGATCAAATCGTGCACAATCAGAGAAATGAAAAGTTGCGCTGCTATTGGGTACAATGAATCAAAATGCTTTCTGCTGTCAAACATACCTAATTAGAACAAATAATTTTAAAAACTCTGGTCAAAATATATTGAAAAAATACTATGATTCAACAACAAAAAGACAACTAATCCAATTTTAAAATGAGCGTGTAGTATGTACAAGATCTTGATTCTATCCCCTATATTGGAAAAGAAATAACAAAAAATTGGATAAAGCATTAGAATAGACATTTCTCCAAAGAAGGTATACAAATACCTAATAAACACATTATTAGTCATTAGGGAAATCCAAATAAAACCACAGAATATCACTTTACATATATACAGATGGCTATAATTAAAAATAACAGGGCTGGGGATGTAGCTCAGTGGTAGAATGCCTGCCTAGATGTGTGAGACCCTGGGTTCAATCCCCAGCTCCACAAAAAGCAACAACCAGAAAACAACAATGATAATAAAATTGGAAACTGCTATATTGCCAGGGAGAATGTAAAATGACATAGCTACTGGGAAAAACATTTTGGCATTTCCTCAAAAAGTGTCGAATTACCACCTAACACAGCAATTCTACTCAAAGGAATGTACTCAAAAGCATTTAAAAACAGACTCGATTACTTGTACAACAGTATTTATTACAGTATTATTCATAATAGTCAAAGATGAAAACAACCCAAGTATCCATCAACAAATGAGTGGATAAACAAAATATAGTAGACACACAATAAAATATTCAGCGATAATGAAGAAATTAAGTTCTGATTCACGCTACAACACAGATGAACCCTGAAAACATGCTAAGTGAAATGAGCTAGACAAAAGAACAAATACTACATAATTCTACATACATTAAATAACAGAAAGACAAAAAAGTTGATAAGCAATTACTAAGCTGGAAAGAAGAATAAATGGGATGTTAAAGCCTAATAGATACAGAATTTCTATTTGCAATGATAAAAGAGTCTTTGAAATAGATTGTGATGGTAGCTGTGTAACACTATAAAGGTAATTAATGTTACCAAATTGTACACTTAAAAATGGCAATATATTATGTACATGTATTTTTTTAATTAATATACTTTATTTTTCATAGTTTTAGGTTCACATAAAAATTGAGCAGAAAATATAGCATTCCCATATATTCCCTGTCTCTGCACATCCACAACCTCCCCTGCYATCAATATCCTGAATCAAAGAACACTGTTGCAAAAAGTGAGCTTACACTGACACATTATCATCACCCAAAGTCCATACTTTATATTAGGGTTCACTCTTGGTATTGTAGACCAATGTATAAAAACATGTATCCACCACTGTAGTAACATATAGAATAGCTGCAATGCCCTAGAACTCTTTTGTGCTCCACCAATTCATCCTCCTTCCCTGAAACTCCTGGCAACAGCACTTAATCTTTTACTGTCTCCATAATTTTGCCTTAACCAGAATGTCATATAGTTAGAGTCATACAGTCTATAACAGATTGGCTTCTTTTACTTAAAATGCAATTATATTTCCTCCATGTCTTTTCATGGTTTGCTAGTTCATTTCTTTTTAGTGCGAGATGACATTCCAATGTTTATATGTACCATTGTTTATTTATCCACTCACCTAAGTGACATTTTAGTTGCTTCCATGTTTTGGAATTACAAATAAAGCTATAAAGTTTATTTACAAATAAAGTTATAAATATCCACACACACAGGTTTTTGTATGGATGAAAGTCTTCAACATATCTGGGTAAATATCAAGGAGTGTAATTGCTGGATCATACAAGAGTATGTTTACTCTTTTTTTTTTTTTTTTTTAAAAAAATGCTCACTGGGCTGGGGATGTGGCTCAAGCGGTAGTGCGCTCGCCTGCCATGTGTGCGGCCCGGGTTCGATCCTCAGCACCACATACAAACAAAGATATTGTGTCCGCCGAAAACTAAAAAAAAATAAATATTAAAAAATTCTCTCTCTCTCTCTCTAAAAAAAAAAAAAATTTACAAAAAAAAGAAAAAAAAAAAAGAAAAAGAAACTGGTCACCGTCTTCCAAAGTAGCTTTACTATTTTGCATTTCTACCAGCCACTAACTGGAGCTCCTATTGCTCCACATTCTCACTAGCATTTGGTTTTGTTAGTATTCTGGATTTTTGCCATTCTAATAGGTGTGTTGTAGTATCTTACTGTTATTTTAATTTCCAATTCCCTAATGACAATTGATATTGAACATCTTTTCACATGCTTACTTGCTATTTATATAACTTATTTGGTGAAGTATTTGTTCAGGTCTTTTGCCCGTATTTTAGTTAAGTTGTTCATTTTCTGAGTTTTAAGAATCCATGGTAAAGTTTGGGTCACCCCCACCACCCACCAGGACTGGGGATTAAACCCAGGGGCACTCTACCAACAAATACAACCAAGCAATTTTTCATTTTTATTGTGAGACAGGGTCTTGCTGAGTTGCTGAGGCTGGCCTCCAACTTTCGATCTCTGTCTGAGTCTTTGGAGTGGCTGGGATTACAGAAATGTGCCATCATGACTGGCTGGATAACTGTTTTAACAGATGGTCTTTGACAAGTTCTTTGTCCCACTCTGTGGCTTGTTCTTTCATTCTTTTAATGACTTTTGCAGATCAGAAATTTAACTTAAATGAAGTCTTGCTGATCAATTATTTCTTTCATGGGTCATGCCTTTTGTGTTGTATCTAGAGTCATCACCACAACCAAGGGTCACTTAGGTTTTCTCCTATATGTTATCTCCTAGGGGTTTTATAGTCTTGTGTTTTACATTTAGGTCTATAATCCATTTGATTTAATTTCTGTGAACAGTATAGGCTCTTTACCTAGATTTAATCTTTTGTAAGAGGATGTCCAGTTTCTCCAGCACCATTTATTGAAAAGACTATCTCTACTCCATTATACTGCCTTTGCTCCTTTGTCAAGGATCAGTTAACTATATTATTTACATGAGTCTATTTCTGAGCTCTCTATTCTTTATCATTGTCTATTCTTTCAGTAATACCATGATTAACCTTTCTAAGTCTCAGGTTCTTCCTTGTTAAATAACAATATTCTTCCAAGTCTAAAAAAATGCATACAAAGCACTTAGCACAGTGCCTGGTTATAATCAATTATGAGATGCTAGTTATAGCTACCTACAATAGTTCACACCAGACAAAACCAAAACTTGAACTACAAGATTCTAAGAATGAATTTGGCAGGCACTGTTATTTAAAAAGCAAAGTAGTGAAATGTGGCCTCAAGTTTTTTATTTGAATATTATGGCACTAACCAATAAAAATAGAGAAGAAAAGACATAGACAGAAGAAAGCATTAAAGTTTGAGATGCTTGAAAGGGAACAGAATGGAGGAATTAAGATTTAGAATAGCTGAAATAGAGGACAGAAGAAACTGTTGAACTAAAATACATAAAATGACTGACTTAAGATTTTAAATCTTAAGTCCAGGGCTGGAGGTATAGCTCAGTGGCAGAGCACTTGCCTAACATGATAAATCTAGTAGGTGTGATCCCCGGCACAGACCCTCCTCYCCGCAAATTACATCATATCTACATGTTTGTGTGATTTTTGCCAACAGTACTCAGCTGACACAGACCATTATTTGACTCAGTTATAGGTGGTTACAGAAGTTCTCGCTTCTTTACCATATTCTCCATAAATTAAGTCTTAATAATTATAGAATGAATTCTTCCAAGTAAACAAAAAGGGAAATATATAAATACAATTTAATGAGATTTACTAAAATTGCTCTTAAGCAGTTTATTAGCATTAACTAGATAGGTTAATTTTGAAAAAGGTTAATTTACCTTTTTCAAAATTAACCTAACATCTTTTGTTCAAACAGATTGTTTAGATGGGTAGTATACCATAGTATGATTAAAAAGGAAAGTAAGGGATAAAGGAACAACTGTTTCAATGGAATGTCATTATTCAGTCTGATAAATAATTTAAAAATCACTTACCCATTTTGGAAAGAACCGCTTTGTGTTTCTGAATCATCACTGTCACTGATGATAATAGTTTCTCCATCTGTACTGCTAACACGTCCATTAGCATAACCATTATGATGTGGAGGGAGGACTTCCAAAATCCTACACTGTAACCTGAAACAAAATGAATGCAAATCACTTGATACTTTACAACCAAACATTTCATAACAATCTGTTTTGAACAAATGAAGTTTTTATTTACTTATTTATCCACAGATAGATCATTGCACTGTAACAAGAATAACTGCCTACATCATAACAAGGTTTGAGGGAGGCACATTCCTTATATCAGCTTAAAAATCCAATAATCATGCTTCTTATCAACAAAAGGATCAGTTTTATAGAAAGAGTATAGCTGACTAAATAAACAATTTAATTAAGAAGAAAATCTGTAATATACAATTTAAGCAAAGATTAGATACAATTCAAACAATACAAAACTATAGTTCAATTTATGAAAATCTTTAGCAATTATATTCTTTATATTTCCTTCCTCCTGCTAGATCTGAATTTTAGTTTGTTTTAGTTTCTTTTTTCTTTGGTGGGAAAGAGAAACCAGGGGTTGAACCTAGGGGCACTTAACAACTGAGCTACATCCCGATCCCTTTTTAAAAATTTTTATTTGAGACAGGGTCTCCCTAAGTTGCTTAGGACCTCACTAAGTTTCTGGGGCTRACTTTGAATTTGTGATCTCCTTACTTAGCTTCCTGAGTTAGTGGGATTATAGATATGTGTCACTATGCCCAGCTTTAGTTTAATTTATCAAGTTAGGCTATTGATTTGAGATCTTTCTTCTTATTATTTTTTTTTACAGTTAGATGGATACAATAACTTTATTTTATTTATTTTTATGTGGTGCTAAAGATTGAACCAAGTACCTCACATGTGCCAGGTGAGAGCTCTACCACTGAGCCACAACTCTAGTCCCAAGATCTTTCTTATTTTTTAACACACCCATTTATAACCATAAAATCTCCCTTTAGTTCTTCTTTTGCTGTGTCTGGTTAAGTTTGGGTATACTGTTATTTTTATAATTCCTTTGTGATTTATTTTTAATCCAATGGTTATTTACGAGTGTGTTATTTGGGGCTGGGATTGTAGTTCAGTGGTATACAGCACTTGCCTAGCATGTGTGAGGCACTGGTTTCAATTCTCAGGACCACAAATAAATAAACAAAATAAAGACTATCAACAACTGAAAAAAAATTAAAAAGAAAAGAGTTGGTTATTTAAATTTCCACAAATTTGTGAATTTTCCAGTTCTCTTGTTGTGGTCAGGGAAAATACTTTGTATGATAATGTGACCATTAATCTTAGGCATCARCTTCACTGGATCAGAGGAAACCTGGATAGCTGGTAAAACATTATTTTGGGTGAGTCTATGGACTAAATGAAGATGATCAGTCCTTAATCAGCAACCACTGATTCTAAATTTCAGGATTTTACCCCCGGACTGAGAGTTGACCATCCATTCCCTGGTCCTAAGGCCTTTTCAGACTTGGACTGAGCCATGCTACTGGCCTCTCTGGTTCTCCAGCCATGAAGATGGCCTGTTGTGGGACTTCTTGGTTTCCATAATTGCGTAAGCCAATTCTAATAAATTTCCTTCACATGTCTCTCCTTTCCCATATATTTACTATTGCTTCTCTCTTTTTTCTTTCTCTCTCAAGAATCTTGATTAATGAAAGTATCTATCTTTTAGAATCCAATGAGGGCCGGGTACAGTGGCACACTCCTGTAATCCCAGCAGCTCGGGAGGCTGAGATAATTTAGTAAAGCTCTAAACAAACTTACTGAGATGGTGTCTCATACAAAACAAAACAAAACAAAACAAAAAAACCCAAAAAGGTTGGGAACGTAGAGTAGTGGTAAAGTGCCCTGGATTAAATCCCAGTATCAAAGGGGTAGGAAGGAAACCAATGAGACCAAATTGGTGGCCCAGTATATTGTCTCCCCTAGAGAAGGTCCCATGTGCACTTAAGAAGAATGTACATTATTGTTGGTTTCAGTGTTCTGATTTATATCTATTAGGTCTAGTTGGTTTATTATATTGCTCAAGTCCTCTATTTCCTTATCTTCTGATTATTCTATCCACTATTGAGAGTTGGGTATTTTAAGTTTTCAACTATTATTGTCTGTCTCTCTTAGAAATTATTATTATTATTTTGGGTACTGGGGATTGAACCCAGTGGCACTCAATTCTGAGCCACATCCCCAGCCCTATTTTGTATTTTATTTAGACACAAGGTCTCACTGAGTTGCTTAGCACCTTGCTATTGTTGAGGCTGTCTTTGAACTTGCCATCTTCCTGCATCAGCCTCCCAAGCTGCTGGGATTACAGGTGTTTGCCCTTGTGCCCRGCTAGAAATTTTATATATATACTTTTTTTKTGTGTGTGTGTGGGGGGGTGCTGGGGATTGAACCCAGGGATTTGTGCATGCAAGGCTAGAAATTATATTCCTTTAAAAAATTTTTTTAGTTTTTAGTTGTAGTTGGACACAATACCTTCATTTATCTATTTCTATGTGGTGCTGAGGATCAAACCCAGGGCCTTGCACGTACTAGGTGAGCACTTCACCCTGAGCCACAACCCCTGCCCCTAAAAATTACATTCTTAATTAAAGTTAACTGTTTAGAAAATAAAATGTTGGCATAATCTCTCATTATACAGATTGGCCTTATCATTTTTCAAAGCATCTAATTTTATATATATATATATAAAATTAGTTATAGATGGACACAATATCTCCTTCCTTCCCTCCTTTCTTCCTTCCTTCTTTCTCTCCCTCTCTCCCTCCCTCCCTCCTTCCTTCCTTCATTTATGTGGTGCTGAGGATGGAACCCAGGGCCTCACGCGTGCGAGGCAAGCGCTCTACCACTGAGCTACAGCCCCAGCGCAGTATTTAACATTTTAATTTCAAAATTTTCCTGACCATTTCCTTATTATACTTACCAAAAATCTTGAAATGTTTTTTTAAATATATTTTAGTTGTAGTTGGACACAATACCTTTATTTTATTTTTTTATTTTTTTTTTACGTGCTAGGCAAGTACTCTACCACTAAGCCACAACCCCAGCCCCTTGAAATGTTTTTTGATTTCTGGAAGGTTTCCTGTTCACTAACTCTATGGTCCCTATTCTGGTTGCTGCTTCTACTACTACTACTTCTTTTTTTTTTCTTTTGTTGTTGTTGCTTTTGGTGCTGGGGATTTCTGGGGATTTGACCCAGGGCCTCATATATTCTAAGAACAAGTTCTACCACTGAACTGTACTGCAAAACCTATTCTGGCTTCTTTTACTCTGTACATTCCATCTAGATTTTATGGACTGCAACTTCAGACTCATTCACTACATCTAAAATATTCCTGAATCCCATTTCTACTGTGCCAATTTTCAGTGCAAGAAAAAAAGGCACCTGCTTTCTCCACACTCCCTCTTATTCCAACTTCTTTATTTCCTGCCTCGAAACCACAAGTCCATTGTGAATTCGAGGTTAGGATCTTATTATTATGGTATCATTTTTGTTGGTTCTCAAAGAGATTTCTGAAACTTTCTTCTTTCTCAAGTCCCTGTCCTGCCCCCAGCTCTTTAATGTTAAAAAAACAGAGAAAAGATCTTGACTTAGGATCTTTGACTTTTCTTCTTTTCAATACCAAAATGTCCATATTTATCATAACTCTCCATATTACTATGTCAAAGGGCTCTTCATCCTATACCACTCGTCTTGTTTCATCTCCTGTGTATGTTTAGCCTTACTCTGCTAGCCACATAGTATTCAATACCCTGGAAAACTTATATTCATTCTCCAGCTTTCTAGAGATTCCAGTTCTCTAATACTCATTGGAACCTGACATTGCTGAAGCCAAAGATGACTGCAAGAACAAAGAGGAGAATCTGAATAAATATCCCCTTGTGTAGAAATACACTGATTGTCAAAACAGCAAGGAGAAAGCCAAGCAAAGAAAACCTACATCTGTACCTGTTCTGTATATATTTTGCTTCTATTAAAGACCATTTCCTTGGCTAAAAAAAAATAAATTTATAGCTTCTTCCTATCAATATATAATGTGTTCTTTAGTGCTGTGTCTCCTTTCCCAGAGCTTCCTCACATGTCTTCACAAGTCTTAAAAATACTTTTGGCCAGTTGTGGTGGGGCATACCTGTAAGCCCAGTGACTCTGAAGGCTGAGTCAGGAGGATTACAAGTTTGAGGCCAGCCTCAGCAACTTAGTGAGACCCTGAGTGGTAGAGTGCCCGAGTTCAATGCCCAGTACCACCAAAACCAAAACAACAACAACAACAAAAACTTTTCATATACTAAATATCTTCCTCTTCTTCCATTTACTGGCAGGTGGTTTGAATATGTAGTTTATATGGTCCCTCCACTTCCCTACCCTCTGAAAACCCTCACMATTTTGGTCATCTTACAAAAGAACCAGTCCCATCAAAGAACATTACAATTATACATAGGGTTCATTTTGACAAAAACATATACACAAGGAATTTGACTTCAGTCCCCCCAATATCCTCTTTCCTCTCTCTTCCTATTCTCACCCTCCCTCCCTCCCTCTCTCTCTCCCTCCCCTCCCCCCCTCTCTCCTGATCCTCCTTTTGCTCCTTTATTATTTTTTGATTGGTAAAGTCCCTGATCTTTTGGTCAACAAAGCTAACAGTCTTGTCTTAGTTGTAACTTCCGTAAACCATTGTTATTCCCTTTTTTTCTAAAAATGTCCTAAACCTTCCCTACATATCTACCTCCATACCTTTTCCCTCTTTGCCAGGTTCTTTTTCTTTTTTAAGTACTGGGAATTGAACCCAGGGGAGCGTAACCACTGAGCCACATCCCCAGCTCTTTTAAAAATATTTTATTTTGAGGYAGTATCTCACTAAGTTGCTAAGGTTAGTCTTGAACTTGTGAGGTTAGCTTCAGGCTCCTGAATCACTGGGATTACAGGCATGTACCACCACACCCAACTTTTGACTGGTTCTTATTTCTTACTACTAAAAGTGTATTGCATATTTCTCAATAGTTATATACTTTCCCTGGGTATTTTCATCTCAGCTCTATATAACTGACTCCCTCCTGACTTCTAATAATTTAGTCATTTAAAAAAA